TAGTAAAAAAATGGTCTGTGAGTAATGTTTTTTATTTTAGACTTTTGTATCCAAGGGCCACTGTTCTGGTTTTTGAAATAAATTTTTCATCTTTTCAGGTGCTGTGTCACTTTACCTTGCCCTTAACATGATCTACTGAACCGATACCTGATTTACATACATGTGCGAAGTGTACGTCCTTGTTTGTTGCATTTATGACAGTACTGGTTTAATTAAAGCAGATCAAAATGGATAGGAGGCTCTATGTTGAAAACTACCACACCTAAAACATTGTTGTTTTGTCCGACTAGAATTGAGCGGAGGTATAGTTTTGGTTGGCAATCCTTGCATTTGAAAACTGGGTCGAAATTGTTGATTATTTGTTGCACGAACTGGATTACGAGGCTGAAATCTTGGCTGAAAAAATTGTGAACTTTGTCCTCTATCTTGGCAATTGGGTCGAATTGGGTGAAACAAGGGCCATAACTCTAGACGTAATAAACGGAAATTGCTGAAATTCAACAGGCTTCTTCGTTTTATCAATTTAAATAATGCATATAAATTTCAGAAAGATCGGATGATAACTTTTGGCGTTAGAGCGTTCACAAAGTTCAATAAAGTGAAACAAGGGCCATAACTCTAGATGTAATAAACGGAAATTGCTGAAATTCAATAGGCTTTTTTGTTTCACTAATTTAAACAATGCACATAAATTTCACAAAGATCGGATGATAAATTTTGGCGTTAAAATTTATTGAAATTAAATAGGCTTCTCCATCTCACTAATGTAAACCACATATATCAACTTTAAAACAATCGGATAATAACTTTTGGAGTTAGCGCGTTCTCCAGAAATTGTGGACGACGGACGGACGGACGGACAGGGGCGACGGCAATTTACGTCCACATTTCCATGTGGGCGTATAAAAACGGACATATTCTGTACATACATTGAGTGCAATTGGTTTTTAGTATTTCTGGATTTGGTTGGAACAAGGGAAGGGCAGCAGAAAAGGGGGGCACAATGATTTCATTAGGGTGGGCATCCCCTTGAGTATTTAAGGTAACTCTGTCAAAATTCGAGGGCACATTTTCGGAAGGGTGGGCACAAAAACAAGATGGCTGCCTGAGGGCAGTACTGTGTCTTGGTGGTGACTAATATGTTGATTTTCTAACATTGTGCTTTAAGTACTGGATTTATTTTTGGTATACTACTTCTTAAAGACTATAACTTTGGATAGCAGAAATTGGAGTTTTAAAATTTTTAGTATTTTTTGTGATATAGACAGTTTTAGTTTTAAATGTCATTTTAAGTGAACACTAATTATGATCACCTACACAAAACAACAACTTTTATCCCTGAACTGTAATCAAATCCTCAGTAAGACTGAATTGTTTAGTGAGTTCCCTGAGTTAAAACCAAACCAAAGTTTATATCTCACACCAAGAGTAAGAATCACCTATAAAACTAAAAGACAGAGAAACAATAGAGGAGTTAACCTGACCAATTTGACACAAGTGAAATTTCAGTCATCTCAAAATGTTAAATGCGACAATATAAACACGAAAAACCTGATTTATGTTGAAAGGCAGAAGATAAATAATTCCTTCAAATGTGAAAATAAATTCCAAGTATGTCTATTTAATGCAAGGTCAGTTAGGAATAAATCTCAGGAACTTAACCAATATGTTTGTGACAACAATTTGGACATTTTTGCTATAACAGAAACATGGTTATCAGCAAATGCAGACACTGCTTCAATCACCGATCTTGTACCAAATGGATATTCCATCTTTCATCAGCCAAGACCAACACGCGGAGGAGGGGTTGCTCTGATTTTCAAGTCCAGTCTTGATGTTACAGTTCAGAAACCGATTAAGTTTACAACATTTGAATATCTTCACACAATAATATCTGTTATGAACGAAAGATTATCTGTTATTGTCATTTATCGTCCACCTAACAGAGATGCTGAAACTGTCTCGAACTTTTTTAGTGAATTTCCCAGTGTTTTAGACAAACTTGCTTGTTCGGGCAATAGACTTCTACTTCTTGGAGATTTTAATTTTCACCTGCAGGATCTTACCGATACAAACGCTGTTCGATTTAATGACTTACTTAGAGCATATTCCCTTTGTCAGCATGTTTCAGTTCCCACACATAATCGTGGTAATATTTTGGATTTAGTTATATCTAGAGACTGTGAAAATCTTATTCATAACGTAAGTGTTTCGAATAATCTCATCTCTGATCATTTTCCAATTAATTTTAATCTGAGTATTCGGAAGCCTCCACTTCAAACTAAAACACTCACTTTTAGAAACTTCAAGAAACTTGATAAAGGGTGTTTTATTAATGAACTTCAGAATGCTAATTATTTCTCAATTTCTCAACTCGAAGATGTCAATGAAAAAGCCAGTGCTTATAATAGTATAATAGTAGATGTTCTTGATCAAATTCTACCACTCAAGTCCAAAACTATTACTATCCGACCAAATAATGCTTGGTTTACTGATGAGTTACTTGAACTAAAAAAGTCGAAAACTAAGGCAGAGAAAACTTGGTATAAGACCAAACTTCATGTTCACAAGGAAATCTTTAAATCTAAGAAGAATGAACTCAACTATAAAATAAAAGAGTGCAAGAAATCATATTTTTCTAATAGAATTGAAAACAGTAAAAATAAGCAACGTGAATTATTTAAAATATCAAAATCTCTTCTTGATCATACACATGGTCAAACAATTCTACCAGAATCTGATAATCAATTTGAACTTGCATGTAAATTTTCAAACTATTTTTCAGAGAAAATTCAAAGAATCCGCTCGGAATTAAAACCAACGTTATTAGCAGGCGGTGAAAATCACAATTGCGATTCTCAAATCCCTCCGACTTTGTGCAGGTTTCAGACTGTCAGTGAGAATGATATTAAAAAAATAGTGAAAGAATCTTCTAAAACCACTTGTTCCTTGGACCCAATTCCATCCAAATTCATAGTGGATAATCTTAATGTGTTTTCTCCGGTTATTACCGATATCATCAATTCTGCTATAAGTGAAAATTGTGTCCCTGATGTATTTAAGCATGCCATTGTTTTTCCTTTAATCAAAAAGCCCAGTCTTGACATAAATCTTGAAAGAAACTACAGACCAGTATCTAATTTAAGTTTTATATCGAAGCTTTTAGAACGTTGTATTTCAAAACAGTTAGTGTCCCATATAAGTGATCATGATTTATTGGAAAAGTTCCAAAGCGCCTACAGAAAATACCATAGCACTGAAACAGCTCTCATACGTGTACACAATGACATTAACTTATCTGTAGATAAGAGTGAATGTGTTCTACTTGTACTACTGGACTTATCAGCAGCTTTCGACACTGTTGACCATCTTATACTCCTAAATCGACTACATAATGTGTTTGGAATCAAAGAAAATGCTCTTGAACTTATTACTTCGTATCTAACAAACCGAGATCAAACAGTTATAGTTGGTGATCACGCTTCACCCAAAAACATACTTTCTTGTGGCGTTCCGCAAGGATCAGTTCTGGGACCGATACTGTTTAGTCTTTATACTTCACCTCTTGGAGACATAGTACGTAAACATGGGCTGTGTTTTCAATTATACGCTGACGATACTCAGATTTATCTATCATTCAAACCCTCTGTTGACAATCATCTCATTTTTTCAAAGTCAAAACTGGAACAGTGCATAGATGACATTAAAAATTGGATGACTTCAAACTTTCTTAAATTAAACGATGACAAAACTGAATATCTACAAATTGGTTCTAAAACTGTGCTTAGTAAAGTTGACTCTGATCCTTCAATTCGTGTGTGTAAAACTGTTATATCCCCATCACTAACTGCAAGAAACATAGGAGCCTTCTTTGACTCACATTTTACAATGGAAAATCATGTTAATAATATTTGTAAGAATGGCTATTATAATCTGCGCAATATCAGCAGAATACGTAAATATTTATCTGTTGATGCTACTAGAACTTTAATTCAATCTCTTGTGATTTCACGTCTTGATTGTTTGAACTCCTTGTTAACTGGTCTACCGGATAAGCTAATTTCAAAACTACAAAAACTGCAAAATTCCGCAGCACGTCTGGTTACTGGTGTGGGTTATCATGAGCACATAACTCCAATTCTTTACACCCTTCATTGGCTTCCTGTATCATTCAGAATTGATTTTAAAATATTGTTAATTACATACAAATGTCTCAATGGTTTTGCACCCCCATACTTATCTGAATTGATACAAATCCGCACTTCGGTGAGAAACACAAGATCCTCTAGTGATGATTTACAGTTAGTACAACCTCGAGCCAGACTAGCATCCTATGGCGAGAGGGCCTTTTCATTTTATGCACCGTTAATTTGGAATAAATTACCTTATCTTATTCGGAAATCACCTTCCATCATTACATTCAAATCGCACTTGAAAACTCATTTATTCAAACAGGCTTTTTACTGATTTTACACATTTGACTGTTTTATGGGTAGTTTTAAAAAATTTATGTCATTTTTACATTGTCTCTCTCTTCTTACTTTTTTATTTTTAGGAACTGTTTTTAGGAACTTCTTTTTTATTATAAATTGAATTTTTAGGAACTTCTTTTTATTATAAATTGTATTTTACTTTGTTATTGTTAAGCGCATCTAAACACTTTGGTGAAAGATGCGCTATATAAATGTATTAAATAATAATAATAATAACAAAATGACAGGTAGGTAACAACGCGGTGTTTTAATTTCCCAATTTCGCCCCAGAAGATGTTATAGTTACTAAAACCTCGACATCAATACTAGACTACAACACGACACAGATCGTTTTTGCTTCGTGCAGCCCCCCCCCCCCCCCTACTCCCGGCTCCCAACAAACTTTAATTCAATAAAGCAGACCAAAAGTGTCCCCTATCACCCCACCGATTGATGGGGAAATTTCGGGGAAAACCCGATCATATTTGTATAAATAGAAATAGAGGGCGCTGTATGTACAGTCTATATCGGCTCTCGTTGATCTGAAATACCCAACTCCATTCTCTCTGTTTAGATCATAACCAAAAAGCAGATAAAACTACAGGTACATTTATTTTTAATTTTTTCTTCAATATATGTATATATATATTAAAAATAAAAATAAATTTATTATTTTACGTACTGAAAGCCGGGTGTATATATATATATATATATATATATATATATATATACGTAAAATAATAAAGTTGACGTTCTTACAACACAAAGTAAGTGACAGGGATATTAAAATGACCGGCGTGTCTTGTTGTTCCCGACCCCCATCCTCTAATAAAATGAACAACTGTCAGAGTTAGGGCACATATGGCTGTTTGCTACCTCATTAATCTTAACTATAGTGTAAAATGTAACATATCACTATTTTAAAAACGTCTTTATTTTTAAAAGGAAGTAAATTAGCAACAGGTTTTCCAGAGTTTTAAAATAAGTACGTATTTTAGACTTTGATATGAAGTATTTGCATTTTGCGTTCCTTTATAATTTAAAAAGAAAAATAAGCAACCATATAACGAAGCAATTAAATTAAGTAGCAATAATAGCAATACGAAATGAACAAAAAGGTACAGGAAAAAATATTGGTTAGCTGTGTGAAGTCGAGGGCTCAGAACCAGAAGTGAATCTCCAATTTTTCCGATAGGCTTTGTTTACTTTCGATTTTTTTTTGCGTTTTCTTTATGTGACAAAGTGTTTATGTCCTACATCCAATCAAAATGCACTGTCTGTTTTTGATTAAAGCCCACCATCATAAAACCGTTTCGGCCAGAAGTGGATATCTGGCACATGGCCACTTCGAGCCAGGGGCGTGCTGGCCCCGAAGGGGCCCGTCGGTCGCCGAAGGCGCGACGCTGGTATGGGGATCTGTGGGGGTACTCCCCCCAGAAAATTTTTGAAATTTGACAACGGGAAACGCGATTTGAAAGCAGTTCTGGGAGAAATCTAGGTATCATATTTTCCAAATTTATGCTGCTATTTTGACTATAACAGCTGTAGTCGGCAAAATTTTTAATCAAAGACCATTTCACCTTAAGGTGACAGGCATTTGCACGTCAGCATAATATATTTTACTAATCGTTGTGTATGTATGAATTTTCGCGTGCGCACTCTCAATTTTTTGAGGGGATTCCGCGTGAAAATTAGAGCTCTCAGGGGGGCCCGCTTATACGGGTGGACTTATTGTTTAATGGGGGCCTGGGAGGACACCGTCCTCCTAAACTCCCTGCCAGCACGCCCCTGCTTCGAGCGCTAAAATACCCATGCCAGAACCGGTTATGCGACACATATTCACTTTTTAGAAAAAAGCGACACCGCCCTTCGTGTTGCCATTTATAAAAATAATTTCATTGAACACACCAGCTGGGTCATCCCAATTCGTTATTTTATTTTTTACTTAAAACAAAGAAGTTTAGCCCTTTTAAGAGGAATTTTATTGAACTGTATATTTACAGATGAGAAAACATGGCAATATCGAATTGCTTACAAAACAAATATTTTCACGAAAACCATGGTCGTAATATTAATATAACTGGTGATACTGCAACATGGTCAGACCAAACAGGACACCTATTTGGTTCCAAGGCACCGATCATACCGACAGATACACTTAACTTTACCTTTGAGGGAACTGGCCATTCATTTGTTGGTGTCGGCTACTTGAAAGGTACGGATAAAGTATTGTTATTTTTTGATAGGTCAGTATGTGAGGAAAGAACACTTTAATTTAATGTTGTCTGTGTCTCGAGAGCTCGCTTTAAAAAAGGGATTTGGGCGCCGGGTTGTCGCATAGTTTCTTTCGTGCCTTTTCGATCATAAGGTCTATCATTAGGTCAAGTTGTGTGGACTTGATTCAACGCTTGTACGTGACAAGGAGTCGAGTAGGGTCGCCCGTTCAACCTCGTGGGTTTCCTACGGGTCCTCAGGTTTCTGCTCACTGCTAGTGCTAAAGACCCCTAATCAAAACGAGATAGTGAAATACAATTGAACCACATGTTAATCCCTAAATGACCTAACGTCGGTCGAGTGGACATTAACAAAAAAAAATTCTCTCTCTCCCTATAAAAGGTATCATTATTCTCCCCTTCCATTTTTCAGATGAACAAGTTAGCTGGGTTATGAAATTTAGTATCCAGGTTAACTATGAATTTGGAGAAGGTTTTCTGCATTTTTTCGATGATTTTAAAATTGTAATGGGAGTTAAAGATGAAATTCGAGAATGGATAGAATTACCCGATGGCGAATTAACTGACCTCTTTGTCTTCATTGATATTAGATTTGGAAGTATAAAATTTCAAACTGGTGGTAAGTTTTGTGTTATGGGCATAAAGGGGACTAATTCTAAAATATAAGGGTGCGAGATTTTAGAAATATAATATTATTATACATGTAAATCTTGCCCGTAAATCTAAAAACTTTAAATGATTATGACGCTTTCAAACAAATTCCAAAATGATAAGAATAAACTGAAATTAAAGCCGCTCATCGTCATTTACTTTTTTCGGACAATAATTAATTTGTCATGGCTGCATTAATGCTAAAATATACGCAAATTGATTATTTAATATGTAACTAAGAAAATAAAACCAAAATATCAACAGTAGTTAATTCCCCAACTTGGATTCAATCGGATTTAAAAGATGATCCGGCAAAATTTTTTACCCTATACTTATAGGTGGCGCCGGCTTATTCATATCTCCTTTGGGAGCCACGGTGGCTAGGTGGGTAAGGCGCTGGCTCGCTAGTCTGGAGGTCGGGTGTTCGATCCCTGCATTGGCCGAGAAAGTTCAACCCGATTTTCCGACGTGGTTTCCCCTTGCCAGTGATGCAGGACGGAGAGCCTGATAAGGACAGTTGTCTAGTCCTTTGGATGATACGAAAAACCGAGGTCCCGTGTAAACATTGGAATGCACGTAAAAGATCCCTTGGCAGTAAGTTGGAATTCGATATAAGAGTAGGCGATAGTCCCGCTGTCCGGGCAAAATTTCCCTCATAGCACACTGTATGGCGTATGCCCGTCTTCATTAGCCCAGTATAGGAGCAGAACAGTAGGACGTTAAACCCCATTTCATTTCATTTCATTTCATATCTCCTTAAGATGATGCTGAATGTTGGGGAATTTTCATATCATTGTAAATACCGAACGGAACTGAATCAATCAATCATTGCTTACAGACCAAACATTTACAATATTGAATGATATTAATATGTCATATTTCAGAGTTTAGTCGTAATAACAAATTTCTTGTTTTGGGCAAAAATGGAACCATGGACAACAATAAGTTTGGTCTAAAAACTCCCAAACCAGGCACCTTTTGTGTGTGTAAGAAGCCAATGTCCATGGAATATCGAATAGAGTTAGGACTTGAACCTGTCACAGCAGCTAGTTATTGGACAGCAAATATTGTACTGTCCAATTTTCCTCCAGAAATAGTCCCGAGGTCTTATTCTGATATATTTAAAATTGGTTCGTTTGAAAATGAGCAAGGGACAATACAGCTGCAGTTTCGACCCAAAGGAATAATCATCTGTAGCTTTAAAACTAACCGAAGAGAAATACAGATCCAAAATATTCACCTTGGTCGCGATATATACATGTGGATTGAGTTATTCCGATGCACGATAAGGATGGCATTGTTGAAAAACGATGAAAGCGGTAAGTACTCTTGATTTATTTTAAATTATATTCAATATATAATATATTGGTTACGTTTGTAAAGAAACGTTTAGATTGATATTTGTTTTACTGTTAATCTGGTTTCTAATGATTTGATAGGTTGATAATTTGCACAAACCTTATAAGGGGTGTTCCCACTTAGCCGGCAGGCTTTGATGTCAAATTTTGCCGCTAATCCAGAGCTAATCCTAGAACAATGGTGTTATAAACTATAGTCCATATCTTTCTTAAGACTAAAACTTTTATTAAATAACATTAAATAGTTTACACATATAAAAATATATTGATTTTAACAAATTTAATATTTATTAAATAACATTAAATGATTTACACATATAAAAATGCATTACAATTTACACATTTAACTTTTATTAAATAGCATTATATAATTTATAAATAAATGCCTTACAACATAACAATAATTTAACAGCCCCACTAAATAGGAAATATTTGTTCCATACCGATTTACACTTAAAGAGCCATTTAATAACTGTGTTTTCAAATGTTCAATTCTTGTATCAAGTTGTCGATATTTCTTAACTCGAGGCCTTTTGGTACCACCAAATAATATCTGTGAAATGGTGATTTCGACATAGGATTGTTCATGTTTTATTAAGTTAATGAACTTGTAAATATTAGGATGGCATGCTGTCATTTTATTCAACTTAGAGGGATTTAGAGCTTATTAACGCTGAACACTAGTGAACAGTTCTTGAGTGACTACTTTTAAACAGACTATAGTTTTAAGATCAATCAAAGGATTAACAGTCTGCCGGCTAAGTGGGAACACACCCCTTATAATTCATTTACAAAATCTTGTTATGTTTCTGTCAGCCCTTTTCCATATATTCCAATGTAATTGTTATAAAAACATCAGAATTGACGCCCAAAACAAAATATTATATTCATGTTTGTACAAGGGGATTTAAATCGATCTGCTGTTCAACGTTCGTTGATGATTAAACGCAAAATTGGATAATCGAGACTTTGTTAATTATCGTAACAGCGCTAACAATGACAATCGAGACTACAAAGATTTTAAAATAAGGGTTTCTCGGCTTAGAGTGAAGCAATTTGACAGAAATTTTCAGCATATTCCCTTTACATCATCTAGTTTTTAACTATTATAACGAGAACTGCCAGATCTTTATCTAATCTTCCATAATGTATCTTTAATCATTTGCCTGCACAGGACAAACATAATTAGGGTTTATTCTTCTTCTTCTTATTATTATTATTTTTTCAACTTGAGCATATCTCAGAAACTATTTGTCGGATCAACTCGATGTCTTCGGTTTTACTGGGAAAGTGGGTGTGACTTAGAGATTAAAGCTATTTCGAACTTTCTGTGACAATGCGAAATGTCCGAAATCACCGAAGTTGTCGTTTTTTGAAATATTGCCGTAATATTAACAATAATTGTCGGATTTTAACATTTGATACATTTTGACATAGCCCGAGACACGGCAAATAGCTACGATTGTTTAGATTTTTGATTTTCGATTAATCTTCGAAGATATGAGCGCCAAATTTTGAAAATTTAAATTTTGACAAAAAACTTTTTTATTTATGAATATTTTTTTATGGCGCTTTACCTATAATTAAAGGGTCATGTGATTTGAGCAAAAATATGAAAAAAATTTGTATCGATAATTCACCTTGGCCGCTATTGGCTAATTCAGTTTATGGGTTCTGGGTTAATTATTTATGGCTTGATTTGTATAAAACAAAGTTCATATGCTCAATGATGCAAAGTCTCAACCTTTTTATTACTGATAAAGTTTTCTGTCAGCAGCGGAAATGACGTAATTTTGACCAAAACTACAATTTTGGCGGTTAGGTACGTCTTTTCGAAAGCAAATATTATTTTTTTAAAATAAGTAAAAAGTAAGACGTTGCGCCATGTAAAGGCGCAAAAAAGTCGGAAGCAGTTTTTTTAATTTCGATTTCATTTTTGCGCCATTTCGATTTAAAGGTGAAAAACGGTGTAAAATTGAGCTATTTACAACCCATTCAGGCGTTTCATATTTTAAAATATTTCTTTGTGACTTTCATAAACTTGTAGCATTAATTCATACGAAGAGAATCTATCTCAAAATTAGTTTGTAATATGAGCAGTTGCCGAGAAATGGTCAATTTTGCAAGTGTCACTTTTTACACTATTTTGCCCGTAAAAGAGTCAATTATTATTGGATTATCATAAAATTGATACCATTTGATGCGTAATGTCAATTGTGACTAGGTCAAACCAATTTAACATTTTCAATATCATCGGAAATGACGTAATTTGGGCAAAAACTATATTTACAGCTTTCGAAACAAATAATTTATTCAGATGAGTCGTATTTGTTATTTGTTTAATATTTGGATAGTTGATTCCAATCAACTAATAGAATGAACACATAGGATCATATAGATATCACAAAATGGTTTCTAACTTGTTCAGTTGCGGAGACATAGGCGATTTTCAACAGGTCACTTCTCAAGGTTTTTGGTCCATAAAAGTGTCATAAAAGTACCTAATGCCATTTACGATTTCATACAAGTAACTTAAGATTTTCATTATCACCGGAAGTAACGTCATTTTGGCAAAAACTGTATTTTTAGCCTTCAAAACAGATATTTTATTCAAATGAGTCTGATTTGTAATATTTTTAAAATTATGATATTTGATTCCAATCAGCAAATAGATTGAACCCATACAATCATACAGATACCAGAAAATGGTTTCTAACTTGTACGGTTGCAGAGAAATAGACGGTTTTCTACAAGTCACTTTTCAAGGTTTTTGGTCTATAAAAGTGGCAATTATTATTCGATTTACATAAAATTTTCACCATGTGATGCCTTATGCCATTTCTGATTTCATAAAACTAATTGAACAGTTTCATTATCACCGGAAGTACTGTACACTTGCATGTAAAAAATGTATAAAATGAATTGATATTGCTGCATTTGGTTGATTCGGCGTCCATTTTATTTGATGTGTGTAATGCTTATGTGAAAACTTGTTTAATGATTTCATTAGTACCAGAAGTGACATATGTTTAGGGTAACGTGACACCGGTGAAACCCGTCATTACTGCTTTGCAGTTATTACTAAGATTAATTAGGCTTTCACCTTCGGTGAAAGACTATTGTTATTACTAAGATTATTATTTTTTTTAATTGGGGGAAGCTAGATCTCAGCAATGGATTCTTTAGATATTTATATTTTTGGATAGCTGGAGACATTTCTGAGCAAATAGCAGTTCAAAACTGTGGAATTTTGAAACTTTGTCGCTCTCATTTTTTTGGTAAATAATGGAAAACTTTCAAAATTTTCTAAAATTTTTATTTTTTGGAATTTTGAAATTTCAGTTATATTTTTGGATAGCTGACATCAATCCGATTCCAACAATATAAGTTTTGTTCTGGAATGTTAACTTTGATTTTTCACTTTTTTTCGCATTTTGGTCAAATCGTAGAGTTCTTATTTTTTTTAAAACGGCTCCAACGATTTTTCTGAAACTTCAGATATATGAAGTCGAAGGACCAAACCAGTCCTTGAACTATAAATGAAAATCCTACAATTACCGGAAGTGGTCAAGAAAGGTATCCAAACTTTGACAAAATTGTGAAAAATGGGTGTCTGTGCGGAAAATGCGATATATTAATTGTGTTCTTGTCGATTAGTTAAAGTTTTATATGGTGTAATAGCCAATTTTCTATCAAAAATTTAAAAAGTTATGTGACTTTGAAAAGTAACATTTTTTACGATTTCGAGCAACTTTGTACGCATGTTTCTCGAAAAGTCTCCCAACGATTTTTTAAAAACTTTCTCAATCGAGAGGCTAATGGGTACTCTGTTTTGTGAAACCACTGTATCATTTTTTGAAATGTCAGGGGTAGCCGAACAAAGAGATCGAAAATCGAAAACGTCGTATTTTTACGATTTGGAGCATTTTTAGAGGTCTATTTCTCGAAAAGTCAACATAATTCTTTTTTGGAACTTCTTCCACAGAGAGGCCTATCGGTAGTGCTATACATAAAACGATTGTACAATAGTCCCAAATTTCAGGAGTAGCAGAACAAAGGGATCGAAAATTGAACACGGCACCTTTCATTGTTAAGCGAAACATAAGTGAGGGATACAATCTGTACGTTTTGTCAACGTATAGAGTCTATTCAAGAGTGCTTTTATCAGTGATGATATTTGAACTGAAATTATTTCAACTATGAGTGTTTTCTTCTTTCCAAAATATGGGTTTAGTGACCCTGTAACAGAAATAGTTGATTGCTGTGTGTAATAATTAGCCTTTGAATTAATATTGTTGCTTCTGTGTCAAAATTATCTTATACCGGTAATCACCTGGACAGAAATCGACGGCTCGCGCTGTTTATAAGACAGTCCAATTTATTTAGCGTTTGCAGTAGTATCGTACAGTGGTATCGCATATTGCACCTGTGATAAAAGGCATGACGTTGTTTGAGCATGGACTCTATCAGTAATTAATATTAAATTTTTATTATTAGTGACGTCAAATCTTTAAGGTGCACGAAACCAGAAAACTGGCGATATTTCATTGAATATTCAATCAATTTTTGAACCAGTTACATATTTGAGTAGCTGACATGAACGCGATTCCAAAGTTTCGTGTACACATTGGTGTGACCGTAAAAGATCCCTTGGCGGTTGGAATTCTGTATAAAAGAAGACTAGCGCCGCTGTACGAGCATGTTTAGAGGTCCTATTTCTCAAAAAGGCAATCTAATATTTTGGGGGGAACTCCTTCTATAGAAAGCCTAATTGATATATATTTGAATGAAAAGAGAGAGAGATGGGGTTTAACGTCCACTCGACACAAACTAGGTCATTTCTGGACTAACATATGGTTTAATTTTGTTATTTCAATAAATCGCTTGCGCGTAGGGGTCTTTAGCAGTTGGAGGAAACTGGAGGACCAGGAGAAAACCCACGAGGTTGGACAGGCGACATA